CCAACATAGCTTTTCCCATTTTCTTTGCCCATTGGAAGCCCACTGGGAGGATCACAAATTTGATCACATAATCCAGGGATGCTGCAACTGTTGTAAATACAGGCCAGTTGCCACGTACCCAAATGTTGATCATGTGACCATGGGGATGTCGCAACAGTCGTAAATATGAGGATAAGTTATAGGTTACTTTTTTCAGTATCACTGTAACTTTGAAAGGTCACTAAATAAATGGGTGTAAATAAAGGGCTACCTGTACAACTCAACATCACGTTAATATCTTTAATATTGAGAAGCTTTCTGATATAATCAATGTTTGCAACCAAAAGCAGAATAGGCTTACAATATCTGGTTGTGCACATTAAAATACTATTCCAGAAAAATAACAACAGCAACAACAACAGAATTGGAGGCGACCTTAGAGGTCATCTAGTCCAACCCCCTGCTCAGACAGGAAACCCTATAGCATTTCAGACAAATGGTTGTCCAGTCTCTTCTTAAAAATTTCCAGTGTTGGAGCATTCACAACTTCTGGAGGCAGGTTGTTCCACTGATTAATTGTTCTTACTGTCAGGAAATTTCTCCTTAGTTCTAAGTTGCTTCCCTCCTTGATGAATTTCCATCCGTCATTTCTTGTCCTGCCTTCAGTGCTTTGGAGAATAGCTTGACTCCCTCTTCTTTGTGGCAACCCCTGAGATATTGGAACACTGCTATCATGTCACCCCTCGTCTTTCTCTTCATTAAACTAGACCAGTGATGGCGAACCTTTTAGAGACTGAGTGCCCAAACCGCAACCCAAACCCCACTTATGCATCGTCGAGTGCCGGGTGGGTGTGGCCCATTGGGTGGGGGTGGCTGCGGTGGTAACGGCAGACTGGGTGGGACTAAAAAGTTCAATCAATCAATTCCAACTTTGCAAGATCTTTTTTTTTTCGTGAGAAGTTGAAATTGACTGATTGAACCTTTTTTTTTTTTTGCACACGGTAGAGGAGGCCTAAAGCGAAAAGGTTTTATAAAACCCAGCTGAAGGCCTAGGACTGGGGCGACGGCGCACGTGCCTACAGAGAGGGCTCTGAGTGCCGCCTCTGGCACCCGTGCCATAGGTTCGCCACCACTGAACTAGACATACCCAATTCCAGCAACCGTTCCTTGTATGTTTTAGCCTCCAGTCCCCTAATCATCTTTGTTGCTTTTCTCTGTACTCTTTCTAGAGTCTCAACATCTTTTTTACATCATGGTGATGTAAAAGCACCAGATACAACCATACCATATGGATCAATGTTCCTGAAAAGTTTTTTGTATCTCCAATTAAAAGAAACCTATCCTTTTGAATACATTCTTAAGGAATCCAACATACTATAAATGCAGTTTTTTAATGAAGCAGCTTTAATCTCAAATCCATTGATGCCATTTTAATATTAAGGACCTGCAACCACTGATAATGGCATTAATAGAAAATCCACATCTTTAGAGTAGAACACCACAAAGAGGTAGCCAAGAGATTCAGAAATCTGTATTGCTACCTAATGGGTGGTTGAGTATTTGCAGCCCAGATATAATAACCTAGAATTATTATTGTATGCTTTAAGTACATATCTCTGTTGAAAATAGCTAGTTGGGAATTGGTAGATAGTCGCCATTTATATTTGCAGATTCAAAGCAAATAATTATTTAATCCAATCTAAAGAAGCTGTGCATTTTTTTTTAAAAAAAAAAGTCAATCAACCTCTAGAGATGTGGGTGATAATGGGTTAACATATGGCAAAAAAAGGACTACATGAAAAGCAATTATTAATCCAGCAGAACTGGGTTTGCTAGAGAATCAAAATCACAAAACCGAGTACTATGAAAAATTAAAAGTGAAGTCGTGTCCCATTGAAGTTTTTTTTAAAATTACTGATGTCAATGAAATGAAAATAACAACAGAAGAGGAGAAAACTGAAAAAGAGCAATTGGCTATAGAAGAAGCAACAGAAGAAAAAGCAGGTTTGCTAAGAAGCATGCAGGTGCAACAATAGAAAAATTACAAGTAGAGACATAAGTAAAATCTTCAGTTAACATAGTAGAAAAAAAATCAGTAACTGCTGTTAGAAATTAGGGTGCCAGGCAGAGCACAGTTAACTACAGCTGTTGAAAGAACTGAGTACAACAGTAGTAGTAGTGGTGAAAGTTTTAAAAGCAAGGGAGAACTGAAATAATCCTTGGCTTCAACAGAACCATTAACTTCAAACTTTAAATACAATTATTTCTCCAGGAGGTGTTAAGCAATCATATGAAATAGGAAGTGAAGAAAGAAGTGAAGTTGCTGGGGAAAAAAAGAAAGGCAAGACATAAGAGAGCAAAAACACTGAAGGATCGGAATAAAGGATACTGTACTTATATGCCATAAAAATGACATTCTTAACAAAAAATATATCAGCCTCAAATTGCTTCATGATATGGCCAGGGAACAACTTTTTTTGAGTGATGACTGCATGAAATTCAAGAGGGCATGGAGGACAGAGTAATGATGGAATGATGTCACCTTTTTACTGGGCTATTAAAATTGTGCATTAACCTTAGCAAATGATCGCCATGCTTGTTTTAGGCTTGATTTCAATAAAAAGCAGAAAACCATCCCATTGTAATTCAGCAATTTGCAATCAAAGCCCAGTGGTGTAGTTCAATGAGGCCAAATGCAGCTCAGACGGGACTATAATTGCTTGAAGAGGTGGAGGAGAAGATAATAACATTATAGATATCCTTCCATCAATATTCACAAAACTTCAAATACTCTTATTAATATAAGTTAATAACAGGTGTTAAACATGTAAAGGTTTAAGTGTTAAATGTGTAAATGTTTCTATTCTCTTTTCTACAAACATTTAACATCACGTTTTAACTGTCAGACTTGTTAATCATTTGGATAGTTTTCCCACAAAAACAATGTATCTGTCCAATAAGAAAATTTAAATATAACAAAACAATGGAACTCAGATTTAATGTAGACAAAAACCCTGAATTTAGTTGTAGCACCCAAACCTAAACATTCTGAAATAGTAATGCACGAAAATTAACACGCTATACATGCTTCAGGTAACTAATCTATAACAGAAGCTGAGTTTTCATCAGCATGTAAAACTTTCATCCAAACTTTTAAATATACTATCAATTAGCAACAAGTACTATTTCTCGGATATATTGAGGGCTTTTGTTTTTAACTGATGCTACCCAGCTTAGTTTCTTAGTTTGCCAATGAGTTTTGATATATTATCTCATAACACATGGTTATATTCTCATGGATTACAGGTGTGTGGATGGCACATCCAGCCATATTTAGATTAAGATATACTACACATTCTTGTCAAGAGAAATTATATCAGACCTAAATAAACTTCTGAACAAAGAACTTGATGTTATACTAGATATTGTACAACAGACTTTTTAAAAATCATATGGCTAGCTTAGGAGATAATATATTAAAAAACAGATTCCATGTATTATTTAAGTTAACACCTTAATAAAAGTGTGCAAGATCAAATAATTAAATCTGTAATTGTATACACTTACTTTTAAACCCCACTCTGAGTGTTCACTTTTTAGAACTGCACTGAAAGTCCCAGAGAGTTTTTACTTGACCTTGTTTACATCTCTGCTAAATCATAATATGGATTAGGCAAAAGCAAGTATCTTTCACAAGCAAGGATATTTAACAAACAAGTCTGTTGTGCAACCCTGGGGCTCTGGCTAATTCTGAGAAATACAAGCCAAAGTCTATGGTATATATAAAACATTAAATAACTCAAGGACGAAGCTTTCTATAATACTTCATGCATTCATGGGAGTAACCCAAGAGTACAATCATGTTTGTTCCTAGTTAGGCTATATTATTTTATATGAATAAACCTATCAATCTAGATTAGAAGTAAATCCCATTTAACTCAATGCGACTTAATTTCATATAAATAAATGGATTTTAAATTGTATTGAAGAGATATATATATATTAAACATTTCAGATGATGGAAAGACTTTGAGCCTCTTATCACTAAATTGTTTTCCACCCAGTAATGTTTAATACAGTGCTGGTGACCAGTTTTGAGCTATTCTTATATTAGTAATAGTAACATTACCTCAAATCTTTTCCCTCGTTCCACCTGCTCTATATTTTGCATATTAACAGAGCTTCCAGTTGGAAAAATGGCCATGGAGCATGGCAGTCTAAATTGGTCTTGGAGAAGGAAAGCTAATTTTGTTAAAGCCCTTCATAAATAATCTCAATAGATACTGGCTTTTGTTCCAGGAAGAACTATCACAGTCCACAAGCTAAGAATAAACACCACATTCCTGTCACTGACAAATAATATTACTAAGAATGTTTTAAACATTCATTCAACAGAGATTTCATAATGCCATAAAATCAAATGCAAACATACTTTGCTTTTATTGATGCGAGTTTCACATGCAATATTTTTTTTAATCTAGTGCGCCTAACACAAACTACTAGGACATGAAGAATAACTGTATAATACTGTGCAACTATAATCTTTTGTTTTTCCTAAACTTTGGGGTAGATGAGCTATTATTGTTTTTTTTTTTAGAAGACGAGCAGATGAATGTCCGAAAAGTATTTTAAATCACAGACCAACCGTTCAAACATAACATCCCTGAAAATTAGTGTCCCTTTTGCAAAAATAAACTTGGGGCAAAGAAAAGAGAAACATCCACTTTCTAATTAAAGAGCTTACAGTACAATGCAATTAGTCTTAAAAATAGCTCTAGGACTTTAGAAACAACACAATGGCAACACGCTCCTCTATGTGATTTAGGATGATCTGACAGGATCTCTCTCTGGTCTAGAAAAAGAGACAGAAAAGCCCCCCGTGACCTACTTCTTCTAATCACTTGGAGACGACAGGAACGGAAAACAAACGTTTCCAATGAGAAAACGAAAGTAAGCGGGGCTGTCGGAAGAAGCATCGGGGGGGGGGGGAAAGAAAAGGCAAAAAGGAAGAACAAACTTACTTTTCATAAACAAACTCCTCATCCGTACAGAAATAGTGCGTGTTGGCTGTGCTTTTGGGTCTGTTCCGCAAAGTAGCAAAATATAGTCGGTCTGAAAAGCAGGAGGGGGGGGG